TCCCACTTGGCATGGCATGTTGCTTGGCATGGCATGTTGCTTGGCATGCTTTTAATTATGACGCTTGATAAGATAATTAGCATGGATTCGCAGAGCTGAATGCATTTTTACAACCAGCCTTAGAGGAGCTCCATAAGGCAGATCTAACTATTGCACAATATTATTTGGATTTTGATTTTGTGCCTCAACAGTTGCATGATCCTTCCTGATATGTCTATTAATTTGCAAGCCATCGTGGCCTTCATATCATTCAAAGAACTTCAAGTTTCTTGGTTGGAAGTTTCTTGTCTGCTTATACGCTCTTGGATGCATCCAATGAAGGTTTATGGCTTGAGCTCGCCTATTTCTTGCAGAAGTGCTCTCTTGACCTGAACGCCTTACATCACTTTCATCTGAATCAACTTGTTCTGGCTCTGGTTATAACGGTGCTCTACATGGTTCCATAGCTAATTGTGGATTTTGACTTGTACTTCCTATATTCATATACCAACAATGAATGTCAGAAAGATGTTTATCTAGAAGTCCCATTGGGCATGCCAAATTGATTTTCTTTATTCTCTTTTTTTCTTTTTTTATATTTGAGCCTGTTGAAAGCTAAGTAAAATTCCTCATTGACCTTTTGACCATTAATGGTCTCGAGAATCAACTTTCTTTTATGTAAGCGTGCCACTGTTAGCAATTAAAACTCTAACAAATTTGAATGATTTTATATACTTGCGCCCCAAGTAATAGACTTTAAAGAAACGATTGTGATTTTGGGTGGGGAAACCTCCCAAGAGAGTTCTTTTCTATGTCTCAGACTGGTGAGTGTTAACAAAGCTTAAGAAAATAGAATAAAGGAGAATTTGATAAAAGATTGTATTGTATTATTATTAGCTTTTTGAAATTGTTCATTTATGTACATGGCTCCAATATATAAGAGAGAGCTTATATCTCTTTCTATGGCCTAGATTATGACACTTGTCAACATCTACACATTAACCCTTTATACTCTAACATCCCCCCTCAAGATCATGGTTGGTGAAACCAAGCATGATATTGCAGCAAGGCGAGGTGATGCACAGGTCCATGACAGAACGAAGAATGATCGAGAATGACTATGCCATTGATCCCAAAATGATCAAGGAGTTTGAACAAACCAACGTCAACAGGCAGACTTCATAGGAATGCTAAATACTGCAACAGAGAGGCAAAACTCATGCTGCAGGGGAGGCATGACAACATCTGCAAGGGCTGCTATATCATCTAAACCTCCATAGCAAGCACGACCAGAATATTCAATCATTATTTCTTCAGCAAGAAATTGACATTGAAACTCCTTGAATGAGAGCATACTTTCTTGACATCGCATAACACACCTAAAAGTGTTGTATTCTGAAGGTAAACCATTGAGAGACACCCCATCAAATTTCGGCAACTGAGTAACAGGTAATATGAAAGGCATACTACTGCTCCATCAACTCTTCCAGTCCACAAATTTCGCAACCTTATTGAACACAAATGATTAACTGTGTGCCTATGAGATTTACCAATTGATTCACGATATGAACCACCAAGTATCCGAAATTTGCCAAATAATTGCATCCTCAATTAGAAATCAGACCCCCACATATAGAAAGAGATAGAATAAGAGAAGAGGGAAATGCTTTGGTCCCTGAAAATTTAAAGAAAGGAGATAGAAAGAAAGAAGAATTGGGAAATTCATTTGTTCAATCAGAGAGATTGTAGAAAGGACATAGAAAAGAGGAAGAAATGGGAAATTCTTTTGTACCCTTAGAGATTGTAGAAAGGAGATAGGAAAGAGGAAGAATTGAGAAATTCTTTTGTTTCTTTAGATATTGGAGAAAAGAGATAGAAAAAAATGAGAAATGGGAAATTCTTTGTCCCCTAAGATAAGAAGAGTGAGAAGAAAATTGTGACAGAACCATGTAAGTATTGATTGATTGAAGATTTTCTTGTTCTCCAAAGAAGTGGGATTTAAGAGTCAAGAATAGGGGTACTGAGATTTTGGATGCAGTAGAAAATTGACAAAACAAATAACAAATATTTAGTCCATGGTGATGTATTCAAGAACAGGAAGGTGATTGTATAGCAAGGAATTCAATATTTGATTTGGGAGTAGCTACAATAACTATCAAAGGTGGATAGAAAGCTTGAATCTTTGAACATAGTATTTCTCTAATTATTGAAATCAGAGAGATAGAGGATGAACAACATACAGACCAAAAGAACATCCATAGGATCCAAATAGCAGGAATGCAACTAACAATATGAAATCCACCGCATATCATAGTTGAGGAAATAGAACCTCCATAGGCAGACATGGAATTGAAGTCAGCGAGTCGAATCAATCTGAGCAGCTACAATTTGAGTAGTAATCTTATAGAAAACAATAACAAATCCCAATCGAAAGGCCTAATTTGGAAAAGCCCTAATGTGAGCAACAATCCACCAAGAACATCGAATGCCACCAGAACAACAAATCCCAATCAATGGGTCTTTGAATTCGCAAAGCAATGGAGAATTACACGAAGCATATATGAATTTGTAAATCCCCAATTCGAAGGCTTGAAATCAACAATCTCATATAACAGCCCCAAAATTGACTAGCAATCGATCAAGAACATTGGAAATTCCCAAAACAGCGACAAAACCATATTGAGACATACTCAAATCAAATATGAGACTGAAGAAAAAAAAATCCCCAATAACAAGCTGAACAGAAACCCAAACCTTGATTCAGTTTGACCAAAATGAGAATCCAAAATGACGTGGAAGAAGCAGATATTGACGTCGATTTCCATGGAGTTCCAGAAAAGAATGTCAAGGCATAGACAGCGGAAGTAGAAGAATTCAGGATCGATCCATGGCTCTTGATACCATGTTAATAGAGCTTAAGAAAATATAATAAAGGAGAATTTGATAAAAGATTGTATTGTATTATTATTAGCTTTTTCAAATTGTTCATTTCTGTACATGGCTCCAGTATATAAGAGAGAGCTTATATCTCTTTCTATGGCCTAGATTATGAAACTTGTCAACAGTGAGGACTTCACAATTTATCTAGATAGAAATGGTAAGTAAAGCAAAATACACGAATTTATGAAGGATATAACAAACTAGTCCAAGCAGAATTGTCAAGAATACAAAGCATAAAATGAAATTGCTAAGTCTGGATAGGTCTCAGAGTGTTAGACTTTGACTTTTGCTTAAAAATACAGTCAAAATGATGATTTAAGATCAGGCTGAACTGGATCTCTTTTGGCTGGACTGGATGTTGCTGCATTGGAATTGCGCGTTAGCACCTTCAACTAATAGCGATTAGTTGGAAATCAATACCGATGTTGAAATTGGTAGAGATATAAACAAGTTAAGCCATGTGGAGGCTAGAAAATTAAGTAGGATTGCAGGCTGGTACCTGTTCCGGTTGAATTTGAGTGATCTGGTAGCTTTCTAGACAATTTTTGTAAATTTTGTTGAGGTTTTCAGATGATGAAATACTTAACCTTTGCTTGCTTTATCTAACTTGTTGAACCAAATTTGTAAGAGAAATTAATCTCTTATGAGTTCTGATTGGAATACCTTGTCTGGATTGCAAAAGAAATCTTGTTTTCTCTTTGACTGTCTGAGCTTTTCTTTGAGCTGGATTACTTCTTGAAGAAGATGGTTTGCTTGCTTTTGGTTGTTGTCAGATCATATGATCTTTGGTTAGTTTTGAACTAATTGTTTGTATTGAATTTTTTGTTTGACTGGTTGGTCGGTTGGGTGTCTTCTCTTCAATCTAGGCACTCCTGTATTTATAGGAGAAAATGTGATGATGAATAGTCCTAGATATTTTTCGGTTTTGGACTAACCCTCATCAATGCACAAGTGGTAAAAGATTGTGTGCTATTTGCTTTGATGATTTTTGGCTCCTTGCTCATCAATGCTCCTAAATATCTACTTATCGTTCCTTTTGCAAAACATTGAACTGAAGTGAATAATAATACCCAGATTCTTCCAACGTTGGTTCCATGAATACAAATATCCTGGTAGTAGCAGAAATTTGGCGATCTTACAATAAATAGTCGTGATTTCCAACTAAAGCAATTATGACTTCACTTTCTAGCTTTCATGGTCATCAAATGTATTTGGAGTCTAGCTACCAATGGTGAGGAGTCACTCCGACATACCTTAATAGTTAACAAATTTGTTAGTTGGGGATAAACTAATTCAAATAATTTGATTCTTAGATTAAATTACCATTAGTGGTAACTTATTTCTCAATTATCAAAAGTGATCAAATAATTAATTTAATCCCCCTTTGTAGAATAGTACAGGTCATTCACCATTTTTGGTAACCATAGTCCAATTACCATTTTGGAAAGTGAATCCAATGGTCATTTCGAGCTGGCATGCGGATTTCAAGCCCAAACAGGTGGGTAATAGAAAAACATGATGTTTAATGTGCGTGGGTGGCTGTAGAGATGAAATCTTAGAGTTGCGGTGGGCTAATTTCAACCATGAGGGGTGGGCTATTTTTAATTAACCTGGTTTTGGCTTATAAAATTAACACTAATTTTTTTATTTCCAAATTTAGTACTGGGCTGGAGCCCACTCTAGCCCATACATAGATCCGTCCTTGGTAGAAAAGGACACTTGCATATCAGTAATCTCATGTTCAAACCAACATGACACCTTGATGATGTGTATGCGTGTGAAACCCCCTATATCTAAATGAAGAGATCTATACATAGGTGGAAGAATAGATTGACTTATTTTAAGGGTGAACGTGGTTAAATATTCGTTCAACAAAGCTACCGTTTATTAAAATTATGGTGTTTTGGAAAGAAAAATGTTATCGTTTATTAATTTGTATGTAAGTTACGTAAGTGTTCAATATGATTAAACAACCTGTAACAATAGCAATTATTAGTAACATACCCAAAAAAGATTAACAATTAGGATTTCCTCTACCAAACAAAAAATCAGCAATTAGAAATCAGAGGTAAGGCGATCCGGGAAGAAAAAATACACTGGAATTACAAGAAAAAACCAATACATCAAAGAAGGTAAAAGCAGAAATATAATAAAAACCCAAGGATAAAATTTCCAACCACCTACCAACGTATAAAATCAGGGTAGCCTTTGTAATGAAGAACTACAAGGCTTCAAGACCTGTATTTACAAAAACTCCAATCGACACTGCTAAAGAGAGACAAGGAAATAACACGTCTCTCTTCCAATCAATATAAATGAAACCCTCAAACCTTTTTCCAAGATTTTATAAAAAAAATAAATAACACGTCTCTCTTCCAATCAATATAAATGAAACCCTCAAACCTTTTTCCAAGATTTTATAAAATAAAAATAAAAATCAATAAAATGGTGATACGAAGGAAAAGAAATATAGACAATGATAACAAAACTAATGACCCTACAATCAACAAGGCTCAGGAGCAGGCAAGTCATAAAAGTATATGCCAATGCTTCTGATGTTTCTTAATACTAACTCCCAACCTGATATTGGGAAGAATTTCCAGAGCTCATTTCCTCTCCGGTTGATGAGAAATCGGAACTAATGTCAGATGTACTGGAGGTGAGGAAGAGGCAAACCACAGCACAATCATCAACCTTGACATATGGGTATTTTGACCTCCAAGCTCGAGTTGCTGACTCTACCAGGGCTCGAGCAGCAGAGGCTCGTGGAGCTAATGCTACTATTTTTACGACTTCTTCATTTGAGAGGACATCCCATATCTGCCAGAAAGTAAATTTATATAAGCCAATGCTAAACAATCTGTCCCGTGATAATCTTTGCATTATGTGAAGCTGAATAAACTAAATCGATGACGTCAATTTGGATTCATATGGTCTTTCTAGTTAATCCATTCTGACAATACACGAGATCTTTACATCCAATTGAATTTTGAATAAAGCTTGGTAACAATTATCAAGATATCTCCAGAAGCGGATAAATAAACTGCACTTCTGTCCCCAAACTCACATGAAGTACATTAACAACGACAAAGCCTTTCAAAGTTTGGATTATCATGTTCACCAGACCAGGACCATGATACTTTCATTCAAAGAGAAACACATAAAAACGCATAGAGAAGTGGAAGATTAACTACGCAAATGATACAATTTAAGACAGATCAGGACTGCAATAGATGAGGTTAAGCAGGAGTATTACAGAGATTATGTACACATACAAGGGTAATTTTTTTCTTAACTTGCAAGGAAAAAATTGGGAAACAAAAGATAAATGTATAAAAAGAATTTTTTTACAATTCCAGTTTCTTCACAGAATGGACAGCTTGACACAATACGACCATACGGAAGATGAATAATGAATATACTCAGCAACAAAGAAACAACCATAGTTCCTTTCCGCATATTTAGATCCTGCCCAAATATCCGTGCATATTCTCAGAAAAAAACAAACAAACAAACCATAGTTCCTTTCTGTTTCTCTCTAGTGCGCTCCCAGTTCCTGACTCGATATTAGGTCAAGATAAAGCCTTTTCTCCTCTGTCTTGTTTTTCCTCATTCAAAATTTTCCTAACCTTTATTAACTCACACAAGGAACCTTTCCTCTTTCAAATAAAATTTTTTTTTGGGGATTTTTCTTAATCCTCTTGATTACACATAAAGAACCACACACAATTTTCAGACTAGATGATATAAAAGACTCAATTCAAGCCTAAACCATGTCCATGGTGCTTCCACCGCATTTGGAAACTCATAAACAATGTTCTATTTGGATTTCGGACGCATGATCCTGTCTCTAGCGAATGACTTGCGTATTCCAAACACTTAAAAATAATGTTCTTAAGGGCATCATTGCCACCACTCTTGCTCCCAAACCCCCTATGTGCATGACTTGCACATGTCAAACACCTCTCCCCTATTCAGTAACATTGTTACCTAATTGCTAAGTTCATTGTTAATAGAGTGAAGCTGATGCTCTTCAACCTTATCAGGCCTAATCAAAATGCCTTGGTTGTTGGGAGATGGATAGGTTGACCTGATGAAGGCCTATGGAATGGTAGATTGAGTATCATTTTTTATACTTTTACCGCTTTCAAGTCTCTTGCTGCTATGGTTGATTATTGAGAGTTTGCATCTCTATCCAAACATTCTCCATCTTTGTAAATGGAGAGTTGTAGGCTTTTTCCTCAAGGATGCAAGAACTAGGAGAAGTAGGGGAGCTAAGATTGCTTGGTTGATGTTTGATGTCCTAAAAAGGAAAATGAAGGGTATTTAGGGATCAAATATCTTCATCTCTAGAACAAGGCTTTTTTTATGCTTAGGCACTCATGGAAGCCAGTCAAAGATGATGATATATCTAGGCTGGTGGATTAAGGAGTACCATCTGAACGGTGCAGCTTATAGGAGAGTCATACTCCTCAGGTTTGGAGGAAGTTGCTAAAGCTAAGAACCCTGCCATGACTCCTTAGCACAGCACATCATTGGTGATGGCATACCCAAGGTGGCGGCGAGATCCCATTACACTCAACTGAAATCCTAGAGTGATCATGACTCTGAATTGTCTACAGATGCCAAGGTCCGCACAATTGCACAAAGAGACTGTTGGGTATGATGTATGATCCCCTCCTAACTCAAGGGGCCAAATGGATATCAGTTACTATACGCCAACTCAACTTGAAGGGACGCTATTAAGTGGCTCCCAACCACTACAGGAACTTAGTTAGCTACCTCTATTTCAGAAAAAAAAAAAAAAAAAAAAAAAAAAAATTAGGGCTTTAGGTGGCTGCCGGCCTTGGCTCATTGAATAACGACTCTTTCTATACCGCCCCCCCAGACAAAAGAAAACTGCAGGAAAATTTGAATCGTAACAAGAAGCTGTAAATCATATTATATAAACAAGTGGATTTCTTACCCCATCAGTAGCCAATACTACAAATTCATCCTTCTCAGTGAGGCGACGATAAGAAATATCAGGGACAGAGATTAAACCAAAGTCCTTTAGGCAGAAATCTCCAAAAGCCCGTGCCATGGCAAGGCCAGGTGAATTACTGTTGGGCAACCAAACTCGAGCGACCTCAGGCTCGTTTTGGAGAGCAAATACTCGTCCTTTACATAGCATAATCCTCTCTGCTTCCCCTAGATGCATAAAATAATTGCGTTAAAAAATAAGATTAATCATCCCGTATTATTCAACCAAGATTCCTAACTGTATAATAAAGAACACTCCATATTCTCAACTACTATAACACCAGATTAAAGTGCGTATGCATCAACACGTGTGTGTAGATGGGTGCTGCAAGCGTGCATGTCTGCATGTGAACTTACTTTCAGATCAATTTAAACAAAAAAGCATCTATATATCCATGCACCCAATGTTAAAACAAACTTGCAATCCAAGATCAAGAAATAGAGAAAACATGATATGTTGTTGAGATTATACAACATCTACTAGGACATATTGCATCAATTATACAAATAATGAGAAGATCCCCATTTGAACCTAGTCCATTGCAGAGAAAAAACCTTTTAAAGCACTATGCAGCTGAGGATTTTCATCCTTGGATTTCTTTACCTCTTAAATCCTAAGTGACGTAAATTTCATAGTATTAGTAGCGAGAGCTCTTTTATTGAGTGCGCCAGCTGTAACAATAAATTATCCTAAGGAACATAAGCTATCAATGGGGCACTGCTCCTGATTTCTAGATACTATCAAAGAAAGAAATCCTCAGCTGGATTCTATTGTAAAAATTTAAAAAGTTTATTATCAATATAAAAAATAATGAGATTGATATTAAGTCTGAACTATGCATTTGTTTCTAAGACAAGTAGTAACCAAATGCTGTGTATTTTCTGTAAAGTTGGAATCTTTGAACTCTAACCATGGATTAGAAAGAGTGGGAGAAAGAAAGCTACTTGGAAGATTTGGTTTGAGGTCTACAGTCAACTGAACAGCAACGAGGGAGCCATCTTCATCTCTGGTGCCTAGTAGAGCTCTAGAGTCCCCAACATTTGCAATAACAAGATCCTGACCCTGTAAACATCATATACGTATTTAAGACAAATTTACAGGTGCAATCTCGATGTACCAAAACTTAACTAATAGCATCTCAGTTCTTGCATCAGATATTGACCCACTGTAAATCTCAAGTGTCCATATTTCATACAAGTACTGCAACTTTATTAGATTAAGACTCTTTGTAAGTGTTCACCAAGAACAATGAATTTGTGATGCAAATGAAATACCTGCTTGACCAAGGTAACAGCAGTTGTCCCACTGCAAAAGCAATCAATACGAGGATGCAATTTGAGCTCCTTGTCCATGACCTTAAAAGCCTTCAGAAAAGAATCTTTCAATGTCATAAAAAGCTCACAGTGCTCCATATCCTTGTGGTCTTGATATGAAGCAGCCTCGTTGGTATCATCAGCAGCCCCTTTCCTGGCGTTATTAGTCAATACCCATTGTGAAGTCAGCTTCAAAGGTAGAGCATCCCTCACCTTCTTTGCAACCACATGGCCAAAAGGGCCATGCCCATCAAAAACACCACAAAATATGGTATCCGGGGAACCAAAATTCTGTAAAACACCACAAATTCTTTAGTATTGTACTACTCAATAATCCAGATTCAATTTCCATATATATATATATATAGAGCGAGAGGGAGAGAGATAAAACTGAGTAAAAGTTGAAGTTGCACAGAGAAAGCAAAGTACCTCCCAAGCAATCATGGCGTCCTGATTGACCCCTTTCTTGCCTTGCTTGCTGAACAAGGAAGCAAAATCAGAGGAACCATTGAGGAACTGCCTGTCAGGGACTCTGTGCAGCCACATCTCCAGATTACTGGAAGGCGGCGCTACCGCCGTGGCAGAGGAGTTCCCAGTCACCCTCCTCTTCCTCCTCTTGTTGCCCGGCCCCGGAGAGGAAGGGACCCCGCCTTCCAGGGAGAGGCAGGAGCCCATGCCGAGTGCCCTGACGAGGTCCAGAAAGCACTCCAACCCCACCATACAGTCGGGTCCCTTCCTTGGCTCCACCGGCGGATCCGTCTTGCTTTCTGTTTCGGATAATTTGGATTGATTTCAAGGATAACGGATAATTTCTATCAGTTCTGTCTGTAAGTCACATAAAAAGCATTTCAATTTCAATCCCAATTTCCCAAATCACATCAAATTTCATATTCATAAGGATAATTCAATTCATTTCCGACCTCAAGAAAGAAAAAAAAAAAGATAACCCATTTATGTAAAATTACCAATTTGCCAATTCGACGTTGACGGAAAAGGGGCAGAGGAGAGAGTCGATCAGACACATCCTAAGCGCACATTAGATTCTGGTTTCTGATTGCAGAGAGAGACGACCATTCTATCTGAAGACAAGAAAATTATATTATTTTATTTTTCCTCAAGGCTCAAACTGATGGTAGATGATGGATGTTGAAGAAAGAAGACTAACTTCACAAGTAATTGTTTCGATGCTCTCTCTCTCTCTCTCTCTCTCTCTCTCTCTCTCTCACTGCACTGCCAGCTAAATAATTGGATTTGTTACTAAATACCTAATACTTAACAGTAATTGTATTAGTTTATCTGTTTTAACAGAATGTTCTATTTGTTTGCCAGAACAACAAAATCCAAAATTAGTTTATGTATTTGAACCCAAAAGAAAAAAAGAAAGAAAAAAAAAGTAGTTGATGTAATGTGGTCGCCAGCGCTATATACATGAAGAAGTGGCTTAGTCTTATCGCTTCTCTCTAACCCATCACTTACTCCAACCTAATCACATAGTGTGATTATCACATCTATGACGTGATTCACGTGTTATAATTTTGGTTAAATTTATAATACAGTGAGACAATTATTTGTTTATTATTTTAAATGAGAGATTTTTTTTATTTATTTTTTATCAAAGAGAGAGAAGTTATAAATGAGAGAGGAAATGAATTGGAATTCGATCAACTGAATCCTCTAACTAATTTAATTCATGATTATTCAGGTGTTGAATCACATATTATGATGTGAAATCTATATCTATGTATATCTATCTATATATATAAAGCAAAAAGCAGAGAATGGTAAAACATTCAAAATATTAGAAAGTGCTCATGGTTAATGCAAACATTAAGAATTGAAATTATTAATTAAATGAGGATAATATGATAAATTCATACTTTTTTATATTTAAAAAATTAAAATTAAAAAGAAAATTAGATAATGGATCATATTTTTATGGAACACAACTGCCTATTATCTTTTTTAATTCTAAAATATCCACGTGTTAGTTTAAAAAAAACGGAAGTCAAGGATATTAATAATTCTAATACTCATCGTATCTCATTCCGTGTAAGTAAACATATCATTAATAAAACACGAGCCTCTCCGCACGCGCTTCCAAGCCTGCAAGAGGCTTTTTTAAAAAAAAATTAAAATTTATTTTAGAATTAAAAAAGATAATGAGCAGTTGTGTTCCATAAAAATAGGCTATTATCTGATTTTTCTTTTAATTTTAATTTTTTTAAATATGAAAAAGTGTGAATTTATCATATTATCCTCATTTAATTAATAATTTTAATTCTTAATGGTTGCATTAACCATGAGCACTTTCTAATATTTTGAATGTTTTACCATTCTCTGCTTTTTGCTTTATATATATAGATAGATATACATAGATATAGATTTCACATCATAATATGTGATTCAACACCTGAATAATCATGAATTAAATTAGTTAGAGGATTCAGTTGATCGAATTCCAATTCATTTCCTCTCTCATTTATAACTTCTCTCTCTTTGATAAAAAATAAATAAAAAAAATCTCTCATTTAAAATAATAAACAAATAATTGTCTCACTGTATTATAAATTTAACCAAAATTATAACACGTGAATCACGTCATAGATGTGATAATCACACTATGTGATTAGGTTGGAGTAAGTGACGGGTTAGAGAGAAGCGATAAGACTAAGCCACTTCTTCATGTATATAGCGCTGGCGACCACATTACATCAACTACTTTTTTTTTCTTTCTTTTTTTCTTTTGGGTTCAAATACATCAACTAATTTTGGATTTTGTTGTTCTGGCAAACAAATAGAACATTCTGTTAAAACAGATAAACTAATACAATTACTGTTAAGTATTAGGTATTTAGTAACAAATCCAATTATTTAGCTGGCAGTGCAGTGAGAGAGAGAGAGAGAGAGAGAGAGAGAGAGAGAGAGCATCGAAACAATTACTTGTGAAGTTAGTCTTCTTTCTTCAACATCCATCATCTACCATCAGTTTGAGCCTTGAGGAAAAATAAAATAATATAATTTTCTTGTCTTCAGATAGAA